AGTCTGCCTGCTCCGCCATGGCCCCCTGAGCTCCCTGCTCCACCATGGCTCCCCAGTCTGCCTGCTCCGCCATGGCCCCCTGAGCTCCCTGCTCCGCCATGGCTCCCTGGACTGCCTGATCCGTCATGGGTCCTGGAACGGGTACCACCCTGGAGGGCTTCCGTCCCAAGTAAGCCTGTCCGTGGAGGCCTCCAGAGCGCCCACGCCCCCTCCCCGTTGGAAGTTATGTGGCACGTGGACGCGCCTTCCGGGAGGGGAAGGTAATGTCAGCCCTGTGTTCCTGTGTCTTGTGTTTTGCCCCCCATGTGCTCCCCATTACCTCCCTTTCTCCCTTGTTTATATGTTTATTGATGCCAGGTCATCGTTTAATTCCCGGTATTTAAGCCCTGTGTTTTCCTGTGTCCTGCGTCCAGTGTTAAACGTCTATTTTATGACCTATGTGTGTGATTCCCTGGTTTTGTTCAATAAAGACTCTTCAAGGATTCTCCCTCATCTCCGCGTCTCCTCGCTCCTTCGCTCCTCGTTCCGACAGTACCTCCTTCATGGTGGCAGCCATTTTGAGATCAAGGAAAAGGTATTTTTCCTTTTCATTGGCTGCATCCGAAATCACATACTCCCTGTGCAGGTACTTTTTTTGAATAAGTAAATATAGAATGAATGTGTGAAGTAGTATGAATGAAATCTGGATGTACTGCATTTGTCATATTGTCACTGTCATGTGACCTACCAGTGTCAGCTGAGTCACTTCACTGCTATTCACAAATCCTTTCCCTGTGGCTTCATGGGATAGTAAAGTAAGTGTCCATTAGATTCCGAAGTTGTAAGTAATTTGTATACTTCCACATAGCCTACTGTTTTAAGAATGCTGTGAATTCGGACATACTGCTCTTTTCACATACAGTTTTTCGTCTAATATATTGTATGTATGGAAGTATGTGATTTCAGATGCAGCCATTGTTCAGAATAGCATATGACACTCTCAGAAAAAAATGGTACAAAAGCTGTCACTAAAGTGGTACCTTTTCAATTGATGGAACTACCAGCTATTGCCAAAAATCCATGCAGATTTTTTATTTTTTTTGGATTGCGTCCATTGCTGGAGCCGCTGAGAAGGTCCAATGTCATTATACAGTATGAGAGCGTCCCCTACAGGCAAATCACTGATGTTTGTTTTGACACATGATACTGCGCGTATACAATATCTGGAAACACTTTATTTTAAGGTGTCCTTGTTACAAATGTTACATGTACTTACTATTATATTAACAATAAATTATGCATAATTACATGCAAGTAACCCTAAGCCAAACCCTAATCCTAACCCTAACCATATAGCAAGTACATGTAGTTAATTAATATTACTCAGTACTTAAATGTATAATTACACTGTAATAAGGACACCTTAAAATAAAGTATAACCCAATATACATATGTATGACATTTCAATGCTATGGCCTTTGTGTAAATATTTAAAGATTTCCATCTTTAAGAATGACTGCAGATATGAAATGGTACAATTTCTTTACAAATTCAGAAAACTTTACAAATTGATAAAACTTTACAAAATGAGTCCATTTGTAACAGTAACTAAGGTTGATAAAAGCTGTAGAAGTACTGTTCCTTCTTAGATTGTGTTAATAAATTACTTCAATTAACATAAGTTAATGAACTATGAACTAACTTTAAAATGGTCAATATATAATTAATATTTAATTTTAATATATTTATTCAGTTACAAAGTTTTTTTTTTTAAATAGTAAAGCACTATTTTAGTTATCGTTCAGTATCCATTTTAAAAATTGGTTGATTAATCAGTTAACCGGTTGATTAATCAGTATCGCCCAATGTGGTCTAACCTAGCTATCTGTATCGGTAAACTCCAAACTCAGTCATCCTCTACTACTATGTACCATTTAGGTGCTAATATGCACACTTTAGGTACTAATAAATGCCTTAAAGATCCCAATATGCAATTTTTAGGGGTAAAAAGGTCCAAATATGTAGCTTTTGAAAGGGAACCACCCCAGTGACAGCTTTTCTACCCTTTTTTTTCTGAGAGTGTACCATACTACTATAAATATTTATGCAATATGAATGTATACTGAGCAAAGTATGCACATTTTTAGTATAAACTTATAATCGCTTTGGGGCCGCAGGAAAATAACATCTTCATTAGTTTACCATCCAAACCTTGACTCCTTGGTTGTATCGGTTGTTTAGAAAGATGAATACAATCAATGAGGAATAAATGATTCAGTGAACCTTTAACTTGCAGGAATATCTGTATTTTCACATATACTGTAGAGTTCTCACTCACTCTGCTTCTGCCTTTGTAATCACTCTTCCTTCCGCCAACCTTTCTGCCACCACAGAGACAGCCGGTTCAACATTCAATCCTGCTGCAGCCACCACCTCATCATCCCTGCAGTTAAAAGTACACAGCCAATATTTCTAGCTTTAAATAGAAAACAGGTATAAAGAATGGATGCCACAAACCTACAGCTTCTTACTTGAGGTAAAGTGCCAAAAACTTCATGTTCTCAAATCTCCCTTTCAGCACCATCTCAGTGTATCCTTCCCCGTACCCTGTGAATAATGAAGAATAAGGACATAATTACATACAAATACCTGTATTTTACAATCCGTAAAGCATAAACATGTACATTAAATGGCAGCACCAGCATATCGAATAGTTCTCCCCAGCAGGACGGTCCAATAGAATGGCACTATGTTTAGCTCCACCTCCCTGCGCATCATGTTTAAGGCCGCAATCCTTCCTAATAAGGCAAAAGTTATAATGAAATTAAAGACATTTGAGCACTACACAATTATATATTTAAAGACCAGTGATGCACCAAATGTTTTTGCACCAGTAAAATTCTTCAGCGAACAGACGCCTCTCAATACTTCAGTTAAGCTAATTTTACAAATTACTATTCTAGCATAATTTTGGGTCTCAGTGAAGTGCATCCACACTGTTGGCATGTTTACCTGTTGCAGCTTTCCCAAGTTGCGTGCACAAAATAGATGCTGGCACAGTAAAAACACATCATTGGAGAAGCGTTTTATCAGTGAACCGAAAAAAAAAACATGTTAAAAAAATTGTTGTTTTGTGAGGAAAAATAAATGCATACAGAAACATTTTTTTAAATCATGTTTTCAGCAGAATATTTTTGGTTGTCAAAAGTTGGTGTATCATTAGTCTTTTAGTTCATGTCTATTAGCTTTATGGTGTCTATGGGCCCTATTTTAACGATCTAAACGCATGGTCTAAAGCGCACGGCGCAATTGCGCTTAGGGCGTGTCCGAATCCACTTTTGCTAGTTTAAGGACGGGAAAAATGGTCGGCACGCCCGGCGCATGGTCTAAAAGGGTAGTCCCTATTCTCTTAATGCGTAATGGGTGTGTTTTGGCCGTAACGTGCCATAAAACAATCAAAGTCTCATCTCCCATCCCCTTTAAAAGCCAGTTGCGCTCGCGCCATGGCGGTTTCGCTATTTACATGGCGGAATTAAATTTTTCATTTTTAAAAATGTTTCTGTGCTGCTGCGCGTCCCTGTGTGTGTAATAAGCAATGTGTACGTGCGTTGTGCACCCGTCTATAGGCGCATATTACTAACGCACTCTTTAAATAACAAAGAAAAAATATTGCGCCTGACTTTAGACCAGGTTTTTGTTAGTCAATGGCGCAGTCCATTTCAGTTGCCTCAAAATAGCAACGTGCCAGCAATGCACCTGAACACACCTCGTTTTCAGACCAGCACGCCCATGGGTGCACAAATGGGCGCAAATGCATTTGCTATTTAAACAATGTGGAGCAGGACGTGAAAATGACAACTGCGTCGGGCTGAAACTAGCAAAAAACACTTGCGTCGTGCCTGGCGCCGCATTGCGCCGGGTGTATGATAGGGCCCTCCCTATATGTTAATATACTCCTAAAAGTTGGCAAAATTAGCAGATATACACATCTTTGATTACCATGTGCCTGCGCTGTCTGCCAGTGGCCGATGCTCACATTCTGGCCTTTTGCCATTTTGAGAGGAAAGAAGGTCAGATCTCCTGCACAGTAGACGTCTGTTACGTTGGTCCTCATGTACTAGACAGACAGGGACACGATTAAAGATTTTGGAAGTGTAAGGTTTGAGCTCAAGGAAATTGGTCATAACACTTACCTTATCCACAATTACATAGTTCTTAGAGTCCATCCTTATTGGACTCCCTTTCAAAAACTCTGAATTGGGATTGACACCTTATATGGAGATCATTGGGGAGAAGAGAGCATAAACCTGTTGTTCAGATTATTTAAATTCAAGAAGCACTCAGTTTGACGACTGTACATACCAATTCCAACGATTAACAAATCGGCTTCTATAGTGATACCGCTTATATGGAGATCATTGGGGAGAAGAGAGCATAAACCTGTTGTTCAGATTATTTAAATTCAAGAAGCACTCAGTTTGACGACTGTACATACCAATTCCAACGATTAACAAATCGGCTTCTATAGTGATACCGCTCTTCAATTTCACAGCCTTAACCTGTGAAAAAACAGGTTATTCTTTTAATAAGTCATAATGAACCAAATGAAAAGAGGCCATCGTCCAGTTAAGTGTTCTTGATCATGTATTTCAGTCAATTAACTTCCAAAAGAAAGTACTGATGTGTTGTTTTTGGAAAAAATAAATACATTTATTTTTAGAACAAATGACCCTGTTGACTTTACCCTCCTATTTTCGCCTTGAACCTCTGCGACGGCATCATTCATGTAGAACGTCACCCCTCTCTCTTCCAGCACCTTAAAGAACAAACAAAGCAAAGTAAGAAGATAATCATTAAGTGCATATTTGATATCAGTATGACTGAGATGGTTGTATTGGCCCTTATAACATACCATCATGGTGACCTTTCCTATCTCTGGGCCGAGAGTCTTCTGATAAGGGAGTTCACTGCTTCCAATGATCGTGATACTACTGGCCATATCTATCATATAGGCGGCCACTTCCATGCCTTCAATGCCAAACACAAAAGATTAGATATTATGGGGGGGAAAAACATGTTGAAAGAATAATTCACATAATATTTTGTCATCATGCTCTTTCCATACATTGATAGCAGACAGTGACCAAAAATAAAAAATGTTATTACAATTTAAATGAACTCGTTTCTATTATAATTTTAAAATGTAATTTTTTCCTGTGACGGCAAAGTTGAATTTTCAGCATCATTACTCCAGTCTTCAGTGTCATATAATCCTTCAGAAATCATTCTAATGTGCTGATCTGCTGCTCAAGAAGGTTTTTTTGATTAGTATCAATGCTGAAAACAGTTTAATATTTTTTAATAACAGTTTAATATTCATTTAATATAAAACAGCTTGATATTTTTGTGGAAAATGTGACAGAAAATCTTTTAAATAACTTGTTTCTTTTAGATAATTTCTTACTAAATATCTTACTTATACCAAGCTTCTGAACAACAGTTAATATATATTAAGACAAAAATAATATTAATTAAAAAACACCTTACAAAAATACTTAAAATGTTGACATTTAAAGACATATTGCATATTATAAATACCTCTCTGTTATTTCTATCTATCTATCTATCTGTCTATCTATCTACCTACCTATCATGATTCTTCTTTGGGATACATCCATAAATCAACTGATAACATTAGCTTTGCATATGGCAAGAAGACGTATGGTGAATGTGTGTGTGTGTGTGTGTGTACCAACAAAGGAAGTGCCCACAACGACTGTCCTGCAGCCCATGCAGGCGTAGTGGATGCACCGGGCATCCTCTGGTGTTTCCAGCATTAGCACGTTTTCCAGGTCCACACCAGGGCAATCTAGGCTTTTTGCTCTGAAGAACAAATATCAAGTAGTGTGTAAGTTCTGGAATCTAGGTGGACCGAAGTTGAGTAAAAGATGAAAAATAATACCGTATCTAGACATATACAATAAAAACTGCAGTCAAATAATAGTTTATATATCAGTAATTATCATCAGACACTTACCTGCATCCTGTTGCAATAAGGATTTGGTCATAGCACTGGATTAAGTCATCATCAAATGTCAGTGTTTTCTTGTTTGTATCTATTGATAAAGCCTGCACAAAGTACAACTCAGATATTGTCATGTGATTCTTGGTATAAATATTGGTATAAATGAGAGAGCCACAAGATTAACTCTCACCTCTTTTTTCAGCCAGACCTCAATATCATACTTGTGGAAAAATTCCATTCTTCTCATTAGGAGACTTTCGCTCTCAGCATTCATGATCTAAAACAAGATTGGGTTCAACGTTAATAATAACAGGTTGTAGAGCATTTATCACGTCTGTTTTATACACAGAAGGTCCTGGGTTCGAGCCCCAGTGGAACCATGATTTTGGGACAGTTGTAGCCTAATGGCTCAATTCTCAAAAAGGTTCAATTCTCAGTACTAGCAGGAAATGTAGGTGGAGGGAGTGAATAAACAACGCTCTTTTCCACCTGCATTACCCACAGCTGAGGTGCCACAGCAAACATGGCTGTGTGTGTGCCACAGTGTGTGTGTGTGTGTGTTCACTACTCACTGCTCCTAATGTCTGTGCACTAACTTGGATGGGTTAAATGTAAAGGACAAATTCTGAGTATGGGTTACCATATGTGGCCTTCACGTCACTTCATTAAAATGTGAAACAGATATGCTGTGGTGGCCATGCTGAATTTTTCATTACTTCATTCATCAGTGTCACATGATCCCTCAGAAATCATTCTAATGCTGATTTGGTGCTCAAGAAACATTCCTTATTATTATCAATGTTGAAAATACTTGTGATGCTTAATATATTTGTGGAAACCCTGATACTTTTTAAAAACAAATATAGCATATTCTGATTTAATCCTGGAAAGTTGGAAAGAAAAAAAAAGCATAATAGTTCAAGAATCAAGAATCATTGGAGTACATTTTACAAGAAATGTAAGTCAGTCTCTCTGCTTAAAATGTCATGTTTAATTCGATGTTACTTGCCCTTTCATGATGATTTGTGAAATTTACCAGAAATTTCTGAGTGAAAATACTGTAGTTTCAAAGCCAGGTTTTTTTCAGTGTATAAAAATAACAGAGAGAGTTCATTTGTAACAGTAAAAAAAATGTCATGTGGTTTCAGTAGGCCTAAACCATAAGTATATCGTATATTAATACAATCTAGAATTATTTAAATATCTTTATGTAGAGTTTTACATTGCTTGCTAGGACCCCAAGCTGTTTGGGTTGTTCTGAAATTAAATAATTAATCTCAAACCACATGTGAAATGCTTTCAAATAGGATTTTGTAGATTCAAAGATAAGTTTAAACATTTTCAGAATATTCACCAACCAAGATGTAACCAGTAATGACAGCATAATTGTAATGTCCGCATAACAAAATGAGATTGGTTTTTTTTCTTGAATTTCTTGAATATTGCATTGTAATTGGTCTTGTCTTCCTTGCATATGTTCAAGCAATATTACACAAGCAAAAATGTTGATCTGAATTGTGTGTGATAAATTTTACACAACAGTTCAATAAACTAGAGGTTAAAGGCAGGGTATGTGATTTTTCAAAAACACTTCAGAAAACTGATTCGGGCCGAATAGCAAAACAAACTTGTAGCCAATCAACAATAAGGGGCGTGTCTACTCGTGATGTGGAGGAGAGAGCTTTCAGTGCATGGGACGGACATTAGCCGAGCCGAGCGACAGAAAGATAGAGATGG